TGGAGTTAATAGCTTGAAAAGCACCAGTGGCATAAAGGTAGGCAATGTCTGGCTTCATGGGAAGCAGAGGCCATTGTCTCTTTTCTAAACCCTACCCCCACAGAGCCAGCAAGCTCTGGTGCCATATCTGAGATTCTGTCAACCTGGCTAACAGTGTTTGACCTGCCTTGGAGATACCCAGAGACTCAGCCCCACCCAAGCTGATTTTCCATATGAATGGCAAGTCTAGGCTCTTGCTTCACAACTTCCTAAATACTCTCAAATAAGCAACCACTGGCCTCAGGGTGGATTCACAGCTGGACTTCACCTGCAAATCTCCAAGTCCAGCACAAGTAGGAGCCATCTCAGATTGCTTTATGGCTCAGGCATGGTGGCTCTGGGGAAAATACAGGTGGGGGCCGACATTGGCCTGCACCACCCAGGATACACCAGGGCCAGTGCACCCAGTGGAGAGCTACAGACTATGTTGGAGTACTACCACTCTACCCCTGCACAGCTGATCCTCCATGTAGGGCAGAGGATGGTGGTAGGGAGTCACAGCCAATCTTTGCAGTTGCCTGGCCTGGGTAAATCCCTCCCATTGATCTGCCAACAGCAACCAAGTCTCAACTACAAGAGGAAGGTGTACTCAGCACACACAAATGGGCATATCTTGACTACCTAGCTTGGGTGATAGGGGAGGCTGTGCTCACTGGGCCCTACAGGACATCTACTACATTAGGCTACACTAACAACACGTAGTCAAAAAAGCTCTACCTAATACATAGACACAAACACAAGGAGGCTGCCAAACCAAAGAGACAAAGAAACATGGCCCAAATGAAAGGACAGATCAAAACTCCAGAAAAACAACTAAACAAAATGGAGATAAACAATCTATCAGATGCAGAGTTCAAAGCCCTGGTTATAAGGATGCTCAAGGAACTTAGTGAGGACCTTAGTGAGGACCTCAACAGCATAAAACAGACTCAGTCAGAAATGAAGGATACACTAATTGAAAAAAAGAACAATTTACAGGGAAATAATAGTAGAGTAGATGAAGCCAAGACACAAATTAATGATTTGGAAGGGAGCAAAAACCAACCAATCAGAAGAACAGGAAGAAAAAAAGAATAAAAAAAATGAGGATAGTGTAAGCACCCTGTGGGACAAATTTAAGTATTCCAACATTCGCATGAAGGAATGCCCGAAGGAGAACAGAAAGAGCAAGAATTTGGAATTTGAAAAAATAATGAATGAAAACTTCCCTAATTTGGTGAAGGAAATAGATATGCAACTCCAGGAAGCATAGAGAGTCCCAGACAAGATGGATGCAAAGAGGCCCACTCCAAGACACATCATAATTAAAATGCCAAAGGTTAAAGATGAAGAGGGAATTTTAAAAGCAGCAAGAGAAAAGGAGAAAGTTACCTACAAGATAGTTTCCATAAGACTGTCAGCTGAATTCTCAAAAGAAACTTTGCAGGCTAGAAGGGATTGAAAAGAAATATTCAAAGTCATGAAAAGCCAGCTACAGCCAAGATTGCTCTGGTCAACAAAGCTATCATTTAGAACCAAAGGGCAGATAAAGAGCTTCCCAGAAAAGGAAAAAAAAAAAAACTGAAGGAGTTCATCATCACCAAACCATTAGTATATTAAATGTTAAAAGAAGATCAAAACTATGAACAATAAAATGGCAAAAATATACATCTATCAACAATTGAATCTAAAAAACAAGCTAAGGAAACAAGAAGAACAGAGACAGAATCATGGATACAGAGAGCGTTTTGATGGTTACCAGAAGGGAGGAGGGTGTGGGGGAATGGGTGAAGAGGTGAGGGGATTAAGAAGTACAAATAGGTAGTTATATAATAGCCTTGGGGGTAAAGTACAGTATAGGGAATGGAATAGCCGAATAACTTATATGCATGACCCATGGGCATGAATAATGAAGGGAGGATTGCCTGAGGGAATGGGGGGGTACTGGGTAGAGGGAGTAAAGGGGGAAAATCAGGACAACTGTCATAGCATAATCAATAAAATATAATTTAAGAAAAGAACACTGAGGCTCAGGGAAACTAAAAAGACTTGGCCAAAGTCATAATTAGTAAAAGTGACATGATTGGGATACTAAACCCAGCTTTATGAAATCAAAAACCATTTTCTCTCTACTGTACTTAGATCCTTTTGAAACACAGAAACAGGGTACAATTTAAGCAAAATTTTAAATTTTGCTTTCTTTGCTCACTACTTTATAATATGTGATAACATCTATTTTTTCTTTTTTAGTTTTCTCAGTGAATAAAAATTTGGCAGATACATATTTCTTGAATAGAAAATAATACTTAATCAGAAAAAGTAATTAAAATTATAATACCTTAAAATTGGAAGGGATGTTAGAGACCCTCTCTAGTTCAAACCAGCTTCAGCTTGAGTATATCTAATGAGGATTATGTCCTCTGTGAGACAGCCCATTTCATATATGCATTTAGTCTAACTATTAGAGGCCTTCTTTGCTTAGAGGTGAAATCTATCTGCCATTTGTTGATTGTAGTTACAACCCTCACCCTACACTGAAGATACATATTATCCACTTACAGATGACAACCTTTTAAATAACTGAAGACAACCATTATGTTCTACCATGGGCTTCTGCTGTGAGGACTCTTTTACCAGAAAAAGGAAACCAATAGATTCTTGGATAACTAAAGCCTCCCAACATTTTCAATAGCTCTTTCCATGACACTGGTCTTCAAACTGGGACTAGAGTATCTCTGGGTGTACCCAAAGTCCTTCCAAGGGATTATGATAATTTTAAGGCAATCAATTTCCATATTTTCATTTGCCACATTTTGATCTATCTGAAAACAAGTCCGTGGTCTGCTGATTTTCCTTTTACATCTCCACCCACAGGAAACCATCGCAAATGACAAACCACTCACCTATCCTGAGAAGTTCCCTAGCTTCAAAGGGACAACTGGAGAATGCAAATCTCTCAAGGGAAGGAGAAAACCTTAACAGTAAAACAGAAAACTTGGGAAAGAAAGAAAGAACTATCTTATTTCCTCCAGACAATATATTCATGGCAAAGCCTGATCTATTTTAGAATTAGAAGGAGGGATAGAGCAAAAAGGGAAAAGCACTCATGGACATGGGCAACAGTGTGGTGATTGCAGGGGGGAAGTGGGTAATAAGGGGTTAAATGGTAATGGAAATAATACAGTAAGAAAGAAATGAATAGTAACATGAGTGTCACAGGGATGTCTATTAACACTTTAATTTTATTTGAAAAATAAAGTCAGATTTTTTTTCCTGACAGAAAGTGAGTCAGATTTGGCTCACTGGTTTGACAATGATGACAAGAGTTTTGCCATTCAGGTCACATAGCAGACATAAAGTGAATGAGATAAAGGTGCAGCTTTACAGTTTTGAAGAAAATATTAAAAATATGAGATACTGAAAATTACAAGGTCACAATAAAAGTTTTTGTATGTCAACCTAAAAATATGTGAGGAGGTACATAGTTTTCAAAAAATTTTTAGTAAGTTTCCCAACAAAGATTTTGAAGGCTATAACTCTACGACAAATTTTCTAGGCTCTTTCCTACTTTGGTTATCCTTTTCTGGAAGCATGACAGTGTCCTGCTTACTATGAACATAACAGGAGAATGAGTAGTAAACAGTATAGTGGGAGTGTGGCTTGGTTCTGAATACTACGTACTTATAATTAGCATAGCCAAAGGTTCCATTTAGGGCTTTTAAAGCTCTGTTGCAACAACTAACTTCAACAACATTTACATCTTTTTCACCCAAGAAGCTACAACTAAATTCACAGTGTACTTGCACTTACATATTTGAATAAATACGTTTATATCAGCTGCTCTTACATTTCATCTTCTTAGTTTCAGCTCGTTTGCTGCAAGCTTGTAAAATATTTTAAAATTTGCATCTGGATATTCTGTGTATTAGTTAGCCTTCTGTGGGAGTAGCTTTTGACATAGTTCCCAGTGATCACCACCTCCTGGTATTCACACCTTTGTGTAATTCCCTCCTCTTGTGTGTGGGCTGGTTTTAATGACTTAATTCTAACTAATAGAATATGGCAGAAGTGCTAAGATTAGGTTACAAGATTGCCTTCAGTCTTGTTCGTACTCTTTCCCTCTTACTTGTTCACTCTGATGAAGTCAGCTGCCATGTTGTGAGCTACTCCAAGGAGGGACCCAGGTATGAGGACCCTATGGTGGCCTCAGACCAATAGCTCATGAGGAACTAAGGCCCTTAGCCCAATAGCCTGCTGCCAACAATAACATGAATGAGCTTAGAAGCAGATATATCCCCACCGAAGGCTTAAAATGACTTCATCCCTGGCCAAAGACTTGATTACCTTGTGAGAGACCCTAATCAAAGCCACTGATTAAAATTTGAACAGAATAGGATGGTATCCCATAAACGATACAATCTCTGGACACAATCATCTAACCAGCTGTAAAATTACCCAGTTGCCCTATCCTTAGCTCACATTTCTCCATTGTACTGACAATAATTCTGTGAGAAATATGTCAAATGGCTTATTGAAATCAAGATACTGTTATCTATAGAATTTCCTTTATAAGCCAATATGGTGATTATATCAAGAGGAATTTAAGTCTATTATTACTTGTTTTTAGTTGCTAGAGAGGCTTGCTAAATGGAGGCCTCTACCACCATCCCACTACTCTTCATATAGACTCCTATGATCAGAATTTTCTATTTTGGGGCCTCCTATCTCTCTGAGCTCTTTCTTTTTAAAGCCTCTTCTCTGAAGTATGCTAAAAAAGTGAGGGTAACTAAATATGACTAACTTTTACTTCCTCAGCCACTGTAAACTTTAAAGATGAGATAATCCTTTCATTCTTATTAGTTTAGGTTCTTGTAATAGATGAGTTCACAAGTATTGTTAAATTTTAAAAGAAAGTATTACTGTTATTCAAAACCAATGTTGCTTAAAACTTTAACCCTTAAGAAAATAAAATGTACACTCACAATTCAAAAACCATGTAAAGCATTCCATCTGAGCTATATGTTTCCAATAACTCTACAATGTGGGGATGTTTCAGCATATGACAGATACTGGCTTCCCGCTTTAGATCTGCAAAACAAACACACAACACACTTTGTTAGGCAGGAACAAAAGGCAATCAGAGTGAATGATGAATGAATGCATATGATCTATGGTAACATGAAGGTTTCTCTAACTAAAGAGATGAAATCCCCCATTTAAGCTAAGCCTACCTTTTAACTTATAAAATCTTTGACACTATAACTTTTTCATGTCTTTTGCCACCTTAAATCTATATACATTATAGAGTCAGCTCTTATTAATAAAAAATGTAAATAGCACAAATACTTTCCTCGAACTTTTACAATCAAGTTTTGAAATATATAATTTTTTCTTAATCTGCTAATAAGTAACTCAGCTTGCTGTTTTGAAGTTTACCCCCCTTTTCTTAGTTTTCCCTAAATTGGATAATAATATATTGTCTTAGTCTAAAATCTAGCATTTATAGACACGCATCAGGGAAATTACATGGAATAGGCGGCAAAAAAAGAGTGTGGTTTAAATAAAAAAGGTAGTACTTCCAGCATCAAAGTCAGAAGTTTTTTTTTTTTACATCATTTATAAAATATGTTTAGATAATTCAGGACACTATCTAAAGTGTTATCTTGAAGAACAAATTTAGATAATGTAGGTAAGACCAGTGTGTAAGTTCTTAATACTAGTTGGAAAATAAAACCGTTAATATTGCCACTGTCATCATCATCATATGAAGATAGTTTGTCATGTCTACATGGAACAAGATAATTAAAACCCTCTTGTGTTAATAGTGCTGGAGTTTTGCCCTGGCTGGTGTGGCTCAGTGGATTGAGTGCTGGCCTGCGAACCAAAAGGTCACTGGTTTGACTCCCAGTCAGGGCACATGCCTGGGTTGCAGGCCAGGTCCCCATTCGGGGCACATGAGAGGCAACCACACATTGATGTTTCTCTCCCTCTCTTTCTTCCCCCATTCCCCTCTGTCTAAAAATAAATAAATAAAATCTTTTAAAAAAGTGTTGGGGTTTTACCTGTTTGGATGAATAAAATCCAATATGACACTTTTACATTTGGAAATAGAGGGAGACAGGTAAAGAGAACAAAGGCTAAGGATACATTGCCCAAAGCAAAATAGAACATTATCTCCTCTCTGATTTAATATTAATTCAATTTAGTCTTGCCAAGAGAGCAATGGCTGCTGAGGGAATGATTTACATAAGGGTAGACAGAATGAAGAAAGCAAATCAGTAAATTAGCCAAAAGAGAAGCTACCAGCAAAGGAAGAATCAATAAGACAATATTAAGAAAGGGAATAGAAGGAATTGAGGCATGCATGGTTGGAGAAAGGCAGAGAAAAGGCTGTAAGATTCAGCCAAGAAAGACCATTAGCATTCTGGCCAAGATGAAGTTCTGTGGAGATATCAGGTTTGAGGTCAGTATGTAGGAGACAATTATGTAATAATAAATTAAAATTTATTGTGTCTCTCACTGGGTTAAGTACTTAATATAGTCATTGTCATATACTGTTCCAACAGGCCTGTGAAGCAGGTATTTTTACAGATTAGGAAACAGGCTTAGAAATGTGTTCAAGATCACATAGCATCACAAGGGGTAGGTTTGAGCCCTGGCCTCTCCAACTCCATGATGCTGGGTTTAGACATGATCAGATCAGAAAAATCTAGCAGTAGGAAAGGAATAGAGTCAAAAAAGTTTTGATTGTCTGTTTTTGCAGTTGTTTTAAAGGGAATACTCTGCATTTGTAAGTGGCAGTGATGAAAAGCCCACAGGATACAGAGTTGGGAAAGTTGGTGCTGGCCCTGCCTCTGTCACTGCTACATGACAACCAATGGCTAACCTCTACAAATGCCTTTCTTACTGCAAATGAAATGGGGGAGGCAGTAGGTGATGTAGGACCTGCAGAGTCTACTACATCAACTTCAGAGGGCAGTGATAAGATTCAAATGAGAAAATGGATGTGAAAGGACTTGTGTGGAGTACAGCACTATGGGGCTGAGGGGTAAGATGGCTCAGTGTTCACTGTAAAGGAAGAGATTGGAGGTACTTAAAAGATGGTCTCCATCTCCTAAAGTGGTTGGAAAGGTCCTGCAGAGGAGGAGAGGTGTCAATCAGGTGTGGCTTTTGTGCTGGGAAGTCATAACTACAAGGAAGGCTTCTGACAAGTGTCCTGGAGGGCCAGGCTGAAGCCAAGCAACTATAAACTAGATGCCTGCAGCTTTTCTCTCCCTTCAAAAATGTGCTATCTCCTGATGCAATGAAAAGCTTAGGAGATTTCTTACTTATTTTTATGTTTGTCTCTAGTTTCTTATTTTATTAGAAGCCACCCTTTTAATACCTTCTATTTTCACCACACTTTCTCTCTTTCCGTCTTGATAGAAAAGCTGATTTTAACTCAGTGCTCTGACACTGGAGTCAAGAAGTAACAGATTTAGTGTTTGCCACTGAAAACTGGTCTTTTCTCCTGTTATCAGTTTGTCTTTTTATTTTGCCCCATTCATGTATTTACACTGTGTTTCAGCCTCCACACTCACCATTTGTCATATGCCACATTTATTATACGAAAAGGCTGAAAACAGACATGAATGTACTAAAGAACCTTCCATTAGAACTTACACATTACTGCTTGGTATGTGGTTGAACATGCTCCTGGTCTAGTCACTATCACCTACCTACCTTCAAAATGAAGAAAAAATTGCTGGGGACCCTGCCTTCAAAGACTAAAAACATTTAAATGTCATGAAATCTGACATTTCAGCAACTAAAATCAGAACACTAATTAAACGGCACAGAATTAACAACATAAAATATATTTGAAATTTTAAGTGCAAGAATGCAAAAATTGGTTTACATCTAGGATAACTGTGGCACCATTTTCCATAATTTAAGTATTATGGAAATACCTAATGGGTATATTAAAAATCCAAAATAGAAAAATCATAGGTTAAAAAATACAAATATGTATCATATATGCATTCTAACTATACATTGCAGGGATATTAAACTCATAATGTTTGTTTTAGATTATGACTCACTTTATTGCAATGGTTCTTTTATTGTGGTAGTCTGAAACTAAACCCACAGTATCTCTAAGGTATGCCTGTACTTGCCTACAAATCAGCTTACAAGGCAGAGTAGAAAGAAATCAGAAAGTAGGTGCTCTATTTGAAATAGAGATTATCTGACTGCTTAGAGATACTAGCACAGAATGTTCCTGTGAGTGACCTGACCTAGAGTTATCATGGCTGTTTGGAAGTGCTGCTTTGTCTACATTTAACTGGTAACACTCCATTTTTCCTTGCACCTTTCTATTTTCTCATTTCTAAGGGAAATTTTAAAAGATTTAAAAATAATCTATTTCTATGTGTAATAACCTTATACAATATTTAATTACATGTCTATATTTTACCAATTTATTTCCCTTTAAAAGGAGCACTAGTAGTATAGAAAGTAGTATTTAATTTTCTGACCAAAACTGGACAAACACACCAATTAAATCAACTTCCTACTATGGCAAGGATGGCAAAAGGACTACCACACTTACTCCTTTTCCTATTACCACTACTACTAGTTTCTTAAAATACTGGGGCCTAAAACTTTTTAAAAAGAATTTTCCTGGAAAGTACTTACTTATTCATTTCATTAACTAGTTGTTATTGTCATAGAATTCTGCACACTATCTTTTAAAATTTGGATGTTACTTTCAGAGTGCCATAATTCTGCAACAAGTTAATTTGACCATGGGTCAAAAATAATTTGAGTATTTACTAATACGACAAGGAATGACTTCTGACCTCTGACATTCTTGGCACTGGATTAGCAATCTCCACCTCAGTGTACGTGTATAAAAGTCCAAAATTTAAGTGAGCTTTCCATTCAGTAAGAGTTTTATTTTTATTTTTAAAATATAGTTTATTGATTATGCTCTTAATTATCCCATTTTTTCTCCCTTTTATTCCCCTCTGTCCTGTACCCGTCCCCCCCACCATCATTCCCCTACCATAGTTCATGTCCACGGGTCATACATATAAATTCTTTGGTTTCTCCATTTCCCATACTCTTGTTAATCTCTCCCTGTCTATTTTCTACCTATTATTTATGCTTCTTATTCCCTGTACCTTTCTCCCCATTATCCCCCCTCCGGCTCCCCACTGATAACCCTCCATATGATCTCTATTTCTGTAAATCTGTTCCTGTTCTAGTTGTTTGCTTAGTTCATTTTTGGTTTTGGTTTTGTTTTTAGGTTCGGTTGTTGACAGTTGTGAGTTTGTTGTCATTTTACTGTTCATAGTTTTTGATCTTCTTTTTCTTAGATAAGTTCCTTTAACATTTCATATAATAAGGGCATGGTGACGATGAACTCCTTTAACTTGACCTTACCTGAGAATCATCTAATCTGCCCTTCTGTTCTAAATGAAAGCTTTGCTGGATAGAGCAATATGGGATGTAGGTCTTTGTTTTTCATGACTTGGAATACTTCTTTCCAGCCCCTTCTTGCCTATAAGGTCTCTTTTGAGAAATTGGCTGACAGTCTGATGGGAACTCCTTTGTAGGTAACTATCTCCCTATCTCTTGCTGCTTCTAGGATTCCCTCCTTAATTTTAATCTTAGTTAATGTAACTAACTATGATGTGCCTTGGTGTGTTCCTCCTTGGGTCCAACTTGTTTGGGACTCTCTGAGCTTCCTGGACTTCCTGGAAGTCTATTTCCTTTGCCAGATTGGGGAAGTTCTCCTTTATTATTTGTTCAAATAACTTTTGCACTTGTTACTCTTCCTCTTCCTTCTGGTACCCCTATAATTCGGATGTTGGAATGTTTAAAGATGTCCTGGAGGTTCCTAAGCCTCTCCTCATTTTTTTGAATTCTTGTTTCTTCATTCTTTTCTGGTTGGATGTTTCTTTCTTCCTTCTGGTCCACTCCATTGATTTGAGACCCAGTTTCCTTCCCATCACTATTGGTTCCCTGTACATTTTCCTTTATTTCACATAGCGTAGCCTTCATTTTTTTTCATCTAATTTGTGACTAAATTCAACCAATTCTGT